ATCTTCTCTCCCACCTCACTGACCAATCCCCACCACTGCCTACCTGCACTCACCTATCACCATCCCACCTACCTTCCCCAGCCTCACCCCGCCTCTCTCTATTTATTTCAGAGCTCCCTTCCCCCTCCCCATTTCTGAAGAAGAGTCCCGACCTGAAATGTCAACTTTCCTGCTCCTCTGATGCTGCCTGGCCTGTTGTGTTCCTCCAGCTCCACACCGGGTTTCTCTGACTCCAGCATCAGCAGTTCTTACCATCTCCCAGTAGTGAGTGGGAGCCCATTTGATGAAACCGCCAGTTTGCTTTTACATTTCTGAGAACCTACATTGAAGTGAAAAGTCAGATAGTGCTTAAAATAGAATATACTGCACAAATCTTACCAACTTCTGACCACCACTCCAAACAATTGCCTCTTCTGTTAGGGAAAATTCTTCTCCAAAACGGGCTGATCCATCATAGTGCCCAACATTTACAATGTCAACTGTACCAAGGACATTTGGTTGCCAGTTTACAATGTCATATGTTGCAACAGGGTCTCCGTTTTCATCAAAATAAACCTTTTCGCCAATCTTGGTTATGAAATTCACCGTTCTCATGTAGTATAATAACTTTAAATGAAATAAAATGGGAAAATATTTATGTTAATTGCAAATATTCAACACTGAATTCTGTGATCAAACCACATTAAATATTCCTCACCTGCCATGGTTGAAAATTTGAAACGTTTGCACAATTCCCATTGAAGAACGGTCCTTCCCCAGTTTTACATGATGCCATATTATGAAGTGCATGAGCTATAGCATAAGTTGCTTTGTACACATTGTAAGTCACTCTGTACTGCAACACATCAGTAAAATCATTTTGGACATTCTGTAAATGTTCTCTCCCCGTGCATTCCTTAAGCTCTGACTCAGTTTGTCGAGTATCTGTTTTGATTCCACCACTTAGACTGCAGCCGAAACAACTTTCCCAAAACTTTTTCACCAAGAGGTTTCCTGGATACAAGGATGGGTGAACTTTCATCAGGAACTCCCTCAACCCTGGTATACTGACTTTGCGAATTGCAACCCCAATTGCACCAGATGCAATCTTTTTACTTTCTTCCGGAGGAAGAAGCAACGTGGAAACCCATGATTCACTTCCAATCCATTGTATGCCGCTGAGATTTTGTCTAATCATTTCTTTTAGAAGAACACCCATATTTGATTCTCCAACAAAAGCAACGACAACTTTTGTAGTAGAGGTTTTTATGGTGTCAATTGTTTTCAGCAACTTGTCTCGAGTAAATGTTTTATGAAATGACTCGGAAAAAGCAATGCAAATGCCTAATTGTTGCACAGCCTCTTCAAATGCTTGCATTCCAAAGTTCCCATAGTCATCATCACTCTTAACAGTTCCAATCCAGGTCCATCCGAAATGTTTCACGAGCTGGGCTAATGCTTTAGCCTGATAGTAATCACTCGGTATTGTTCGAAAAAATGATGGATATTCCTTTCTATTGCTGAGGCATGTGCAGGTAGAAAAGTAGCTAACCTGTTAAAAATAAAGCAGAAACATTTGCGTTTTGATTATGATGTGCGGTAATTCCTGATATCAAGGCATAGAAATCGGTTGAGAAGAGCAAATCTTCCAATTTGCATCATGCTTACGAGAGAGGCCCATCTTAAATGCATAATGTGCTACTTATTTCATAATTTCAAAACGTCTCATTTATACATTTTCTCCCAATGTTTATTTCAAGCTTTGCTCTTTCTTGATTCATCTTGTCCTAGCTGCAGGTGCGCACAGTGTTCTATTCTCGCAATTTAAGATGAAGAACATTGTCAAACATTCTCGTACTCTTTCTACAGTTACTTGGGGATAATTCAAAGTTCATGAAGCATCATATCGGCGGTCCACTGCTGATCTCATGTTTCATCCCTTCACATTGAAGGCAATGGATGGAAAAGCCAAGCAACGTTTAGGGTACGTGACTAATTATACATGACCTGATTTACAGCATTGCCCAAACATTAAAAAAAAAATTCTATCCAACCCCTGATATCTTTAACAACATGTTCAATATTATCTGTCTTCTTTTTAAATTGAAGGTTGCAAAGTAGAACTTTAAAGAATTTAGTGTGGCTTCTGGAACCAACGTTGAGCTCACTGTCTCTCAGGCATGAAACATGTCGATGTTCTATTGTTCAACATTTTACTTATCGTGTTGTTTGCTGCAAGGCAAGCTGTATACATTCAAGATTTTTGCAAAGATTTGTAGCTCGGGTTGTTGACTTGCTTGCGGACCTGGCTTGTTTTCGTTCAGATGTTTTGTTACCATGTTAGGTAACATCATCAGCGCGGCCTCCGATAAAGCGATGTTGTTCAACTCTGCTTGGAATTTGTAGTGTCAGATCTGTTACGGTGAGTTGTGTCATTTCTGGTTTTGTTCTGTATGGGTTTGTATAGGGGGTTTAATTCTATATGTTTGTTGACCACATAATGGGTTGAGGACCAAAAAAGGGCATAGTTTCCACAGCAACCACCCCAAAGTCCACAAACAAAACTGTGTTAGGACACCATATAAACAGGTCACCACTCACTGCAACACGCCAGAACTACGCAGGAAGGAGGAAGAACACCTATACAAAATTTTCGCTATGGGCGGATATCCCCGCAGCTTCATCCGCAGGTAACAAGGTGCAGGGCTGGATGAACACAGCAGGCCAAGCAGCATCATAGAAGCAGGGAGGCAGGTGCCTGCTAGACAGATAACAACAAGAGGACACAGTACGCCCTAACACACTGGCCACACTGCTCTACATCATTAACATATCAGAACCAACAACGAGACTCCTAAGACCACTAGGAATCATGGTACACACAAGCGCACAGCCACGCTACTACAAACACTCTCAAGGATTAAAGACACCATCCCCACAACATCCAGAACCAACGTAATTTACAAATTACCATGCAACGACCGCCAAAAGCATTACATCTGACAGACTGGAAGGAAATTACCCATCGTTATATACGAACATCATCTTGCAGCAAAACGAAACAATGAACTTTCACTGAGACATTTTAAGAACTGCCGATGCTGGAGTCAAAGATAACACAGTGCGGAGCTGGAAGAACACAATAGGTCAGGCAGCATCAGAGAAGCGGGAAAGTTGACATTTTGGGTCGGAACCCTTCTTCAGAAATGGGGAGGGGGAAGGGAGCTTTGAAATAAATAGAGAGAGGAGGGGTGGGGCTAGGGAAGGTAGGTGGGATGGTGATAGGTGAGTGCAGGTAGGCAACAGTGGGGATAGGTCAGTGAGGTGGGAGGAGCGGATCGGTGGAAGAGAAGATGGACAGGTTGTGTCAGGTCAAGGAGGCAGGGATGACAGGGAAGGTTGGTCATTGGATGAAGCCGGGATGGGGAGCTTTTTAAACTGGTAAAGTCCACATTGAGACCATTGGGTTGTAGGCTCCCAAGGTGGAATATGAGGTGCTGCACCTCCAGTTTCTGGGTGGCGTCAATGTGACGCTGGAGGAGGCCCAGGATGGACATGTCACCCATGGAGTGGGAGGGGGAGTTGAAGTGGTTCGCGACTGGAAGGTGTGTAACAAACTTTCCTTAATATCAGTAGACTTTAACAATGAAGGCTATCGGTTTAACTGGGACAACTTAACCATGGTAGCCCAGGCTAAAAATAGACACGCACGGGAATTTCTAGAGGTATGGTTCCCAACCAAAATGCAATCAATAAACGTATAGAATTGACCCATTTACACACCCATACAGAAAAAGACCGGAAATAACACAACTCACCATAACAGACAAGATAGCATAAATTCCAAGCCGAGTCGAACAACTTTGCTTCATCAAAACAAGCCAGCTCGGCGAGCAAGTCAACAACCTCAAGCTTTATGCATATTTCATTCATATGCTGTGCTGTTTAGCTTTCCATTTTACATCTCCTTAATTTCAAATGTTCAGGGAGTAGATATGTAGGTTATCCATTCATTTTTTGACTAACAGTAAAGTTGATAACACAAGAGTATTTAGAGAAATGTCAGTTATTTTTACTCATCTTTTTGCATCTTAAACAATGTTTTTCTGCCGTTACTGAAACGAAAAGTTGTCTTGTGTAGTCAAGTTTCACGGTGCCGAATTCAAGATGACATTTACTCATTTTTGAAACTATTGAGCCAATCATCGACGAAACATTACGAAGCTGAATTTGATTGTTCTCAGTATCAGTTGTCAAGTTTGAGGAATATCTCAAATGGTATTCATTCTTTTTCGATGATTGAATTTAATACTGAATTGAATTTAATGATGGAAGGCTATCAAACTCAACCTTTATTACGATTTCTCACTCGACAGATGTGCTTGATTTGCCGGTATTTTTAAAACATTTTTATCTTTTTTGTTGTTTTACGTCGCAGTTCAACGTCGACAGCACGCGATTAAATAAAATCTCCTGTCCATGGGGTTCAGTTAGCTGAAGAGCTGTTTCCAATAAATGGGTTATAAGGTCTCAGTTAAAACAAGAGTCGAACGAATGTCATAACACACAAAGTTTTGAAAAGTGAGCGGTTTTACACGTAATTTCGTAATGGCTGGGTTGATCAGGCATAAATAAAGTTAACATAGCTCATGATAGGAACCCATCAAAATATTTACAAATCAATGCACTAAAGTAAAACACTGTCGGGCTGTTGTGGCACATTGGTAACGCCCTCACCTTTGGGCCAAAAAACATCTCACCTTTCCCAAAGTTTGCGATAGCATCATTGAAGAGGTTGATTAAAAATCAATTCTGATAAAGTTGTTAGCTAATTTTTTTTTTAGGATGTGGATCATTCAGCGCGTGTAAAATCTGTTATTACGAGGAAAGGGTGAAGGTGCAGCAGTGCTGATGTCTCTATGGCCACCAGTGAAAAGTATATTCAAGAAGTACATCTGGATTATAAACATAGCTCCAGTATCAGTGACCATGAAGCTGTGTCACTTCAGACGTATGTGTTATTCCATGTAATCTGATTCACTCCTAACTTCGCGCGCAGATGGTCTAGGAAACCATTCAGCTCCAAGGTCACTGGGGACTGGAAACAAAAGTTGATTTTGTCAGTACTGATCGCATCTCGTGACAGAATAAAAATGAACCAAATGTGCCGTTTATTGTTAACATTTTTGAAATTTTCCTTTCTTATATTTTAGTTCTTTTCATCGCCAGGTTTCGGAAATGACATGTTCGAAGCAATATCTTCAAAGAAAAAATCTAATAACCTCGTTATAAAGCTATGGCTACGCCGAACCGAAGAAAATCAATCGTGACCGTACTGGACAGTCTCACCATCCTGATAGGGCATTCTAATGGAAATGTAAATGAAGACTCTGGTCTGTTTTGAATCACGAAAAAAGTTCCAAATTTTACATAGGTGGATTAAAAGACACAAACAGCGTCGTTTATCATTCACCCAAATTTTTTCACTCTGCATACGCGAGTTATTAAACGCCAGATCTTACCATAGGGATTCTGAAGGCACCGATGGAAGGTGCTATTGCTAAAGACTGCGTGGATCCAGAATCAGCTACAATCGCAGAAACAACAGCGGAGTTTTTACAGTTATCAGAGGAAATGTTGGTCTCGGGACTGTTTAGAAACTCCAAAGCTGCTTTTAATGATAACTGGGGCAAGTTACAAGAATCGTATATACGGTATCCCAGTGTGACACCGGGAAGCAGAGCTGCGTCATTGTTTATTTCCTCTATTGCAAAAATCATCGCCAGTGCAAAACGGAAAGGTCTGAACCGAAAGCTGTGGAGATGATGGAGAAACAAGATTTTTAAAAAAGACATTTAATGTAACGATACAGTTATATCAGAGGGGTCACAGCGTAGTTATTCTTTGATCATAATTCGAGCCAGTAATAACACCATTGTCTCTAAACTAGAAATTGATGGATATATGCCCCTGCAGTTCAAAATTTTACTTGGCATTAAGCAAAATCCTGACAATGTGCCCAATTTCAAATGACATTTTAGGGAGATTTTTAGATCCAATAGATCTACTTCGAAAAAAAATCAGGAGAGCTCTCACAATGTCCTAACCGATAATTATCCCTCATTACAAAATGGAGCATCAAATGGCACCCACTAACCTGAGGCAATTTGCTGTCTCCGGGTGATTGCTGAACGAGAGGTCCGGATGCTCAACATGGTAATGCACTCCAAAAATTCCACCCAACATGACATCTCCATCCTTGGAAAAGCCCAGTAAATCAAACCTACCCCAACGTTTGCAAGCCTGATCATCACTGCACCGTGCCAGGGTAACAGCAGAAATTACCACTGAAAGGATCCAATAATGCATCTTTGACAGGGAAAGTAACTGTCCTCGGCTTTCGGTATGGTGACTGTGTTTTATAAGCTCTTACTACGTTTGTGAAAATTGCGTTCATGCGTGCTTAATTGATTTCATTCTCTGTCGAACGTCAACATAATATTTGGCTGATCCCTTAAGAAAGCATATCACCACTTTGGTCAACTTGGGACTCATGAAGGAAATAATTGCAAACGTAGTCATCTGTATACCAGTAATCCAATTACAGTGAGAAAGCGATGGAAACACGTGAAAAATCAGGCAGCATTCGTACACAGAGAAGCACCGTTAATCTTTGAGGTTGACAGATCCTCAGAGCTTCTGAAAAGGTCTTCCAGTAGAAAATTTAGAGTGCATATTCAGGACTACAACATTTAGAGTGACTAGAGGTGCATGGTTTGGATTTGCTAGCAACCAGGATAGTATCATCATCCAACATTAGAAGTCACCATATTCTGCCAGACAATGTTAATTCTGATCAGATCATTGTTCACGGTGCATCATGCAAACTCGCAAATGAGCCAAAGCTCTCAAACACTTGCATGGCAGGTTAAGCACGCTGTTTAATGCTGCGACTACGCGATGACTTTGTGACCCGTATGTTTCACTGACAGGATGCAACTTTCAGTCCATAAATACCTCCGGGGCAGAACACAATAGCATATTTGAATTTGAGTGCCCAATGACGAACACAAGCTCTGATTTGGTTATTATTTGGCAACAGTTGCTCCACAATCCCGAGTGCGCTCTAACAACGGATTTATGAGCGTTAGTTGAGCTAGTAATGCGATCACTTAGATATTTTCTAATCAACCGAATCTGAAATGATGCTATACACCTCTGAGTTCGTTGAACCTTGTGTGTCAGAGGTAGGGACACCACCAACACACCTCAAGACTGTTGGACAGTGCTTACTGTTGCTTGTTAACAGCTTCAGGTGAACATATGCTGTGGTTGTAAGCAATGGAAATAAATTTGGTAACTTTTTTGAGTCGCACATCCATGGTTCCCATTATGCTGACAATCCATCAGTCAGAAATTATTGGACAAACAATCAGCACTCGGAAAGAACACTTGTGGGTGCCCGTATTTCAATGCATCTGCTGTCCTTGCCCTTCGAACGATACAGGGATTATAAGGTGTTGTCGAAGCCGTAACGTTGGTACGGGGCATCTTATAAATAGTGCTCTGTTGCTGTTGTGCATCAGTGAAGAATGATGTGAATGTTGAAAGTCGTGGGTGGAGTGGCAATCAAGGGGGCTGCTGATCTATGGTCAGGGCAGAATAATCGAGGTGATGGATGAGAAATCATTTGGGATTTCTCTATATAGAATCAATTCCTGCTGACTGCAGTTCTCATCTTTCTTCCTCTTGCTCTCTCTGTATAAAATCCAGCAATGTTTAGCTGTTAAACAAAGTACTGTTGCTCCAAAAACAAAAAAAAGAGATTTAAATCTTCGCTATTTCTAGCCCACTGTAATTCATTGCAACAATGCACATCGTGACTTCAGCTGTCAGAAAATATCCTCAAACAGTTCAGCTCTATTCTTAACAAGTGAGTTCAATGAGGCTACTTTGTCCTGGATAATGTCAAAACGTTTGAGTGTTCCTGGAGCTGCAATCATCCAGGCAAGTGGAGAATATTACATTATAGTCCCGATTTGTGACTTATAGATAGTAGACAGCTGTAGTACACAGGGGGTGAATTATTTCCTGCAGAATTCCAAGCCTCTGACCTGCTCATGTGGTCACAATACTTAGACATCTGGCTCATTTCAGTTTCTGTTCAATGGTTTGCCTCAGGATATTGATGGTGGAGAGTAGCTTCAGCAATAATAAAGCCGTTGAATGTCAAGGATAACTAATTCGATTATTTCGTATTTGAGACAGGTGTTGTGTCACAAATGTTGCTTGACAGTTATCAGCCCAAACCTTCATGTTGTCCAGCTCTTTTTGCATATCAACTTGAGTTGTTTCAATGTTTATTGAATTGTGGATGATGCTGTACATCGTGTAATCATCAGAACACTCCCACTTCTGGACTGCTGATGGAGGGAACGTCAGTGATGAAGTAAGTGAAGATGTTGGGCCTAGGATAGTACCCGATGTGATTTCTGCAGTGATCTCCTGGCATTGAGATCATTGGTAACCAATATCACAATCACTATCCTTTGTGCTAGATAAGACATCAACCATGGAGACTTTCCCTTTAACTGATGATAATTTTATTAGTGCTCCTTCATACCGCATGTGTACAGTTGCTGCCTTGACACCAAGAGCAGTCAGATTCGCCATGCCTCTAGCGTTCAGCTCTTGTGTCAATGTTTGATCAAGGTTTTAATGAATTGAGGAGCTGAATAGCGAAACTAAGCATCCATGTGGAGATTATTGCTCAGTAAATGTCAGTTGATAACACTATTGACAACACTTTCCATCCCTTTACTAATGATAATGACTACATTGATGGAGTTACAGTTGGACTGATGTGCTGGATTCTTCCATCATTGTGGATGGGAATACTTGTAGAGTCTTCTTCATCCATTAGTTGTTAATTGTCCACTGGTTATGCGGGGCCACTAACTACCTTTTATCTGATCCATTAGTTGTGGCTCAGTTAGTTCTTTTGATCTTATGCTACTTCTACATGTTTTGTTTTCACACAGTGTGTGGCGAGTGTCTGGAACGGCCTGCCAGCGGTAGTGGTGGAAGCGAATACAATTTTGTTATTTAAGAAACATTTGGACAGGTACGTGGATGGGATAAGTAAGGAGGAATATCGACCAAACTCAGGCAAATGGGATTAGGTTAAGTTGTGAAAACTGGAGGATATGGGCAAGTTGTGCCAAAGTGCCTGTTCCCATGTTGTAGACCTCTATACCTCTATGACTCTCTGAGTGTGGAGGAGACGGATTGCTGGAGAGCTAGAAAATGATAAACCCAAAGGGCTACAGAGATAGGACTGGAGATTGGGAATAGCTGGCTCACACTTCCCAGAGTCAGTACTGACATGATTGACTGAATGGCCCCCATCTGTACTGTAAAATTCTGCAGATGTAAGATTCCATAATTCCATGGTTCCCTTTGTAAGTGGCTATGAAATGAAATTTCCAAACTTTCATGCTATATTCTCAAACATATAATCCAAGAATCATAATATCAGTGCATTTGGAAAAGCATTATGTCATTGAGCAGAGTCAGTACAGCTTCATGAATGGAAATTCGTGCCTGACAATTTTGCTACAATCTTTGAGGAGATATCAAGAATGATTGGTAAAGGGAAAGTAGTCGATGTAATGTATTTGGATTTTCAGAAGGCATTTGATGAGGTACCATACGTTAGATTACTTAAGAATATAAGAGCCCATGTTGTTGGTGATAATATATAAGCCTGGATAGAGGATTGGATAATCAATAAAAGACAGAGAGTTTCGTCAAGTGGTTATTTTCATTATGTCAACCTGTAATTGGTGGTGCGACAGAGTGATCGCTACCGAGTCCGCAGCTATTTGCGTAATATTAATGACTTAGATGAGGAGAGCGATTTACTAAAGCCAGCCAGGTTTGTGGATGACATAAAAGTAAGTGGAATGACACAAAGATTCTGCAGAGAGATATGGACAGGTTAAGTGAATGGGACAAAAATTTGGCAGATAGAATACTGTGAGGAAATGTGAGGTCATGAAATTTCATCATTTAAATAATATTGAGTTCCACTATTCTTTCAGCCAAAGACTACAGAAAACTGAAAAAAAAAACCACAGGGATTTGAATGTGCATTCATGAATCTCAAAAGGCTAGCATCCAAGTTAAATGGGTACTACAGAAGGCAAAGGGAATACTGGCCACTTACCTGAGGAAAGAAAAAGTAGCATTGGAGGGCGTGCAGTGAACGTTCATCAAGGATAGCAGGTGTGGAGGGTTTGTCTTATGAGTAGAGGTTGAGTAGATTGAGGTTATATTCATTGGAATACAGAAGAATGAGAAGATGATTTATTGAAATATATAAGATTCTTAGGGGTTTTAACAAAGTAGCTGCAGAAAGGTTGCTTCTCTTCATGTGAGAGTCCAGGGCCAGAAGAAAAAATAAATAGAATAAGGGGACACACACTTAAGACAGGGAAGAGGAGGAATTTCTTCTCAGAGAGTTGTAAACCTGCAGAATTCTTTCTCATAGAGGGCTGTCCAGGCTGCATCAATCAGTCCATTCAAGATTTTTCAATGATATTTGCAGAAAAGGCAGGGAAGTGGAGTTGACATTTTAAAATCAGCCATGATCTCATTGAACGGTGGAGCAGAAAATATGGGCTGAATGACTTACTTTTCCTCCCGCATCATACAGTCTTATGGTCTTAATTTCAAATACTTCAGAAGCAGAAGCATTACACAAAAGTTTCCTAAAACCACACATAGAGTCATAGAGATGTACAGCACAGAAATAGACATTTCGGCCCAACTCCTCCATGCTAACCAGATGACCTAAATTAATCTATTCCCATTTGCGTTATATCCTTCTAAACCATTCCAATGCACATACCCATAGAGATGCCTTCTTAATTTTGTAATTATAGCAGCCCCTACCATTTTCTCTGGCTGTTCATTCCATACACACGCCACCCTCTTCGTGAAAAGATTGCCCCTTAGGTCACTTTTAAATCTTTCTTCTTCCGCCTTAAAACAGTCCTCCAGACAACAGGGATTGAGTGAATCTCTACAGGAGTATAAGGGCAGAGGAGTATACTTAAAACTGAAATCAGGAGGTAAAATGGGTATTGAGATAACTTTGGCAAGTTGGGTTAAGGAGAATACAAGGAGTTTCTACAAATACATTAAGGACGAGTAGTAACTAGGGAGAGAATTGGGCCCTTAAATATAAGCAAGGACGCCTATGTGAAGAACCGTAGGAGATGGGTGACAAACTAAAAGAGTATTTTGCATCAGTGTTTACCGTAGAGAAGGATATGGAAGGGAAATAAATAGCAATACCTTGAAAA